TATAAAACTTGAATTCGGCCCGTGGTTTGTATTTTTATATTATAATGATGGGTCAATACATTTGTTCTTGAGATCCATCGTGAGTTTCGATTTACCAGATCAATAAATCCCAACTGGGTCATCGCGGCACACGCTCAGACAATATATAATAATGGTATTATGCGGTAACACGCGCGCGTCTCTTGTCTTTTTTTCTCCCCCTCTGCCTCCGTGTTATTTCTCGTATATACACATCACACACATTCACATCATTGGTCGCCGTCCAAATTCTATTTCTGCCATACGACCGTGTGTTTCAGACTGACACAACCTTTTTTGCTTTTTCCACAAGACATTTATTACTTTTTTTTATTATTGCCCAAAAAAATTTACCACAAAATTCTGAATATCTACAAACTTAACGATGACCCTAATTTTCTTTTAGTATTTATATACATATATGTGTTGTGTATAGTGTATACGTTGGCGCGCTCGTTTTTTAAAAATAATCCCTTTCATTGACGTTTGGCATATTTCGTTCTATATTATTTTTGTTATATTCTCGCGCCAAATCGATATGTCGTAATTTGCGTGATCATGTTTGTTTGTGTGTGTGTAGATTTTATGCATATTACTAGTGAATAGTGATGGCCAACGACAGTTTCAAATATCTATATCGTATAATCGAAAAATTTCAAACTAACTATTGAAAAGAAAATTATTCATGTTATCTTGGTTAGTATCATTATATTTGGTAACAGTGGGGTTCTCTAGATTCAGTTAAAGTCTTGCAAACATTTTTTTAATTCACAAAACCTATCGGACGCAGCCATCTTTCCATATAACTTGATTCTATGCATCAAATAATTCTAGCGATAATGTATCAGCTTATGAACATCATTGACCATCGCTACATGTTACTCAAAATTAGGCATATGTCATACACACACAAACTCATTTGCCTTTGCTTATATATTAAATACATATGAATTGTGACTGCCTGAAATTGTATAGCCATTTTTGGCGAGATATAAAAAAAAAGACTGCTTTCTGTACATTTTACACATGTATAATGTATTTGCATAAAATATGTATTAGAGCAGTAGTTAGTTTTGCACGAACTACATATATTACAGTCTACCTGCTACCACTGATTTATTTTACGATCATACAATAATATCAATAATATTATTATTATATTATTGCACGCGTGTTATACGTGCCAGCACCAATTACAACTATCGTAATTTTCGCGTGGCTACAGATATTATATTCTATTATAATATTATCTATATAATTATTCGAATGTTATAATACATTGTGTGTACCAGTCACGGTTATCGCCTTTTGAACGGGTTTGTCACTTCTCCGCGCGCGCTCTCTCTCTCTCGTTAATACTCTGCAGTAATTATTAGCATTTGAAAATGCCATTAGGGTCCTCCGCGACCTTGATCCGAATTTGCAGCTCACGGAATCAAATTCGAATTAGACACATCCTCCTACTGCTGTATTCCATCATATTATATTGTATTATATATAGATGACACTCGACGAAGGCCACCTACTGCAATATTGTGTGACATTGTTAAAGTGTTATTATTATTTTTTTTTAAACTCATCCCGGCAGTCGGCGCCATTGTGTTATATATGTATATTGTATATTATACTGAACACCGCCGCCACATCATAATCGGCATCTAAATCGTTGAGTATAGATAATAATAGGTAAACGCAATTTTGTTTTGTTTCGCATAATATGATTAATATCAATTAGCGTTGTATTTATTGTTCTCGGAAATCAGAGAAGTATTAACATTCCGCACAAAAAGCGGTGAAGTATATAAAAGTATATAATATATTGATATAGGTATATATATAATATACTTATTACTTAGTCTTTAATAGCCCGCGTGTACAAAATAATTAAATTATTTCCATACTTATATTATATATTATTATAATATAGGCTAACAATGCGCGTGTGCTTCATTAGTTAGGCGGTGATGACAGCAGGTATGTAATATATTATATTATGCAAAATACCTATGTAAATTACAGCGTTAAACAATATATTTTTTTTTTATTAATAATCCTTAATCTCTCAATTAGCCGTTTGTAGGGTTGTATTGTGGTGGTGGTAGTAGGGTTTGGAACTGTGAGTTTTTACACGTAATTGGCAGAATTGGCAGAATTTTTAAATGGGCACCCGTAGCTGGTATCTGCCATGTCCTGGTGGGGGATGGCGACATTTATCTCCGGACTAGTGATGTGCCATTCCCCAAGGAATGTTCCCGGGAACAGGGATATTCCCCAACTTCTCGGGAAATTTCTTTAAAAAAAAAAAAAATTTATTATGTTCATGTTATTCAGTATTTCAATTTCAGTATGTTTATTTTTATTTTTTCAATATATATAAATAAAAGTTGGATCGTTCATTTTACAAATTTTAATTAAAAAATTTAATTATAGTTAAGTACTTAATAACTTTTTTTTAAAGAATTTTTAAAGAACTTTTTTTAAACTGACGTACTATCAATAAATAGCTGTCATTTGGATCATTTACAACCATAAGTTTAATTTAAAACTGAAACCTATGATCAATATTCCCGGGAATTTGCCCATCACTACTCCGGACACCGTGACTGCCCAAAGAGAAATGCCGCCCGTAGCCGGGATCAAACCGGCGCTGGTGCGCGTAGAATCCAACGCCTTACTCCGCTCGGCCACTCCGTCCCACACAATATTTTTTATATAATCTGATGTTGAAAATTAATATATACGTGATACGTCGAAACAAAGTCGTTGCGTTTTATAGGAATAGTTTATTGTCTTCTGCAGCTTAGTAGTTAGTATTCGAGTATAAACACACATATATATATATATATAATATTATATATACTGCAGCAAAATCTTGATAATATATTGAATAAAACTAAAGACATTAAAAACCCATTCTCGAACGTCACGTGTCTTATATCACGCGCATATAACTTCGTTGTTTTCGATATCACGCGGTCCATTAATTTGTTTTGAATCCCGACTAAAAATCATTTGTCAACATCTAAATGTTATTCATTAATCAGAGATAATCTCAAACTTACGTGAGTAATAGCCAAAGTTTATATCGATCGTGCATAGATTTCATTATAGAGTAATCATGCCACGAGCGTTTTCTGGAAGTATTTATTTATTTAGTTATATATATAATATGGTGTATATATTATATATTGTGGAAGTCATTATTATAATAATTTTATTCTTGTTCTATTTTAGAACCAATTCTTGACAAACATGAATTAATACTGATATATCTCATACCTATATCTATATTCAATTTATTATTGTCTATTATTTATTATAAGTCTCGGTACCTAGCTAAACCATTGGCTTGTGATTTGATTTTTTTTAAATTATAATTATGTTAAATTTAAAAAAAACTTAAACTAATTTGAAAAAATGAATGAGTTTGCTGAATAATATCACATTTATAACAGTGTCGTCGCCATTTACAAGTAAGTCATGAAGGCATTTGGTTATGTCGAATTTGTAATGAGCTTTCTGTGTCTGTATTGATTGAATATAATATGTTTCATAGTTAGGAGTTTATTTTTTATTACTAAACGAAAAAATTGACATACTAAATAAGTATTTTACTGTTATCCATTCTGGCTTTTGGATTACTTCTAGGCAGAGGATCACGATCATTACGTTTTTTAATTATAACTTAAGTTCTCGCGTTGTTTATTATAAATTATTTTGTATATCGGTTATATTAATTTTGCGTTATTAAAAGTATTTTCAAATCGATTATAGAAAACTGTTACATAAGTATGTTTATTTGGGTTAGTTGCTATTCTATTGGTAGAGCTATTCGTATACTAAGTGGGTGTTCTCCTGTAATATTAAGCATGCTGTTTATAGAACTTGCTTTAAAGCCACCTATTGCCATTCTTTAAGATACAATTATATGAATAACATTAAGTAATTGTAACAATGAGTTTTTTCTATTACCTACATATTATATATATATTATATTATATAAGTAATCCTTTTGATTCCATAATGCTAAATATGATCATGTTAATGATATGTACATTTTTATCAGGTTATTTGTAAGCTCCAATTTAGTGCTTGAAAAAGTATATTTTGAAAATGTTGAGTTTTTTTTTATTTGTCTCAAATTTTTAAATTTACAGTCCTGTGTATTTTTTGAAAGGTTATTCTCAATATTTGTATGTGCTTTGTGTATACAGAATATATAATTTGATTTGTATGTACATTTCTGTAGGTCTTTTCCTATAGTACCTATCGGCTATCAATATTTTTGCGGTGGAAATATTTATTGTCGCATCTGCGTGTGATGTAATTTTTCACAGATTAGGTATTACTGTAGTGTAGAACGTAATTATTTGCGGTTTAAAATAATTGTACAAAGAGGTGTAGAGGTGCCTGTTGGAATTTTTTTCCAAAAACCTATCTTGTTTATAATATGACAGATTGTATAATTATATAATATTATAGTAATACACGTAAAATAATATAATAATATTACCGCAGCGGCCACGCAGTGCACTTTGTGTGTGTGAGTGTGCGCGCGCGATGGCTCAACGAGGAGGCGACACCAGTTCGGACGGGTGTCGCGCGCACGTTTGGCCGGTCACCAAGTTCTGTCGCACCCGTGTGTGAGTGTGCGCGCGTTCACAGTTTGTCACCGACGCGCGTCCCAGAAGCGAGAGAGCGAGAGAAGAACTGGTGCAGCGACGTGCAGCTTGACGTCGACAACGTTTTTCCTGTCAGACGCGCGGCACGACTGTCCGCTACACGACGACGGTCATCGCGCGAGTGTTTTTCAGCGTATTACGATTGATTTCGGTACATCGTCAACGCCGTACGCGTCTTTATATTACACCGTATGTCCGCTATCGTACGGTATATAATCGTGCGTCTCGATTTTGGTTTTTTACGGGTATCCGTACACCGGGCCATAGTGCGAGCAAGTCAAAAATTAACGTCGGACGACGATGGGCTTTTGGTCGAGCAGCAGTGGCAGCAGCAGCTCCAGCAGCAGCAGCAGCGCCGGAAATAACAGTGATTCGTCCGACTCGTCGCCTACCGTCGACGCGTCTTGCAGCACGACCGGCGGTGGTGGGGCTGATTCTGACGGGTCTTCGGACTCTTCTTCGCCGGGCCGGTTGAGCCGGTGGAGCCGGAAGATCCGGTCTTTCCGGCACAAGAAGTCGTCCTCGGTGGCGGTGGTGGCGGCCAAACACGATCAACACAGCCACCACCACCACCACCACCACCACCGACATCACCATCATCACCACCATCGCCACCCGCACCATCGTAGACATTCGACCGCCGCGGACGCTACCGCCGGGTCGTCTTCATGTCCACAGTGCGACGGCGTAAGCACTCTGGCGCCATCACCCTCGAATCCAGCAGCAGGTAGAATATAATAAACCTGGCGCCATAAAATTCGTGAAGATAAGACATTTTTTTTCTGATCCAGTACAAAATAATGATAACCGTCATTTTTGCGTCAACATTTTCGAGCTAGTATTGAAACAGAAAATAATATATAATATGTACTACGGCGTAATATAATAGGGCACACAATAAAGTATTTATTTTAAAAATGTGCAACTCCACCCCCCCCCCCCATTAATATTTGGTACCTTATCGTCCCGTCGCTTGTCGTTTTTGTCATTATTATTTTTATTTTATAGAGAAAATCCTGTACTGCTTTTACCGATGATATTGGTACCGGGTAGAGTGGGTGGGGGTCGGCAAACAAACCGTTCGTTTCACCGCCACCGAACGCTTGTTGCTGCCGTGAGTACTCGACTATATTATGTTATTATTTTGCAACAAATAATTCGATTTTATATTCGTCGACGCGTTGTTGTCGGCGTCGTCATCGTCATTATTATTTATTTGTGAATAAAAAGAACAAATAAGAATGATATTAGAGAGAGAAGGCAACAGTATATTATAATAATCTTTGTTTATTATTGGTACTCATCCCGTTTTCATTCGTCTCGCGTGTTGACGTATAATAAAAGTCTTCCGATTCGCGCTCGGTTTCATTGAGAACGCATATACGCGCGTGCTTGTCCTTCAGAGACACTAAAAATAATAGTTTACGTTATGTAGCGAATTTATGAACGCTCAGGAATTCCGGACTCGCGTGTATAATATATTATTTGAGTGTGAGTGTGTGTGGTGTAAAAAGTTTAAAATCAAAAATGTGTTGGACGGTTTTTATGACTGTAGGTCGCTTACAGAGCGTATTCATTACGTTTCAGCAGTATACACCTATCGCCGCCACCCTACCGGCTATACCAGCTATCTGAAACCGAATATTTAAATTTCGTTCTATTTAACCAAACAGCGTTGACCTTTTTAGATTCGTAATTATAACACTGCAGCACATTCGCGTATTACGTTTCTCGGTAACGGTGTTCGTATTTCAGTCCACATTCGGAACTCTGCAACAGTCGTGTATGTATACAGACATACAGTATATAGGCTTATAGCTATAACACTAAGCACTGTAACACGTGAATGGATCGAGAATCGCTTAAACCCTTCCCCGCATCAGCCGATTCATTTGTTTAATACAATTATTCATGCTGTTAACACGCGGGCTTATAAACAAATGGTCAAAGGTCGCGGTGTAATCTCGAGTTCACTAATAATCTTATGCACGTATACGTACGACTTGAAGTATAAATCGTGAAATAGAACTGATCGTTTTCGTTTGCAAAAATTTAACAAATTATAATGTTGACTACCCCTTTCCCATAGGTCCCAAACAGGTCTGGAATTCCCGGAAATTTCTAGCTAGTAATATTCCTGTTCCCGATATTCCCTAAACATGTCGGGATCGGGAATTTCTGAGAATTTTAAAACCTGTATATAATGCGGCATTTTTTTAAATTTATTATAGACGGTCAAGTTTCTTGATTTATGTATTATTTACATTTAATTATAATAATTTCAAAACATATTATAAAATTCTGTTTACTGAGTACAGAATTATAGTTATTATGACCATTAGGTGGCATACGGCTATACCTATACAGTATTTAGGTACCTAACTATTATATACTACTTAACTACTGATAAACCCTAGTTTTTAGATTCTGAGGAGAGAGATGAGGAAACTATAAAAAAAATGTTAAGTTTTTTGTTGGTTTGTTAACAATTAACAATAAAACACCAACGTAATATCAATATAACATGCATCTATTATAGTGGCCAGCACACCATTACATTTTTGATTTTTCTATTCGCTAGTTGTTATAATAGTTTCTATGGATGATAAAAATTGTGCAGTTAAACATTTTAGTATTTTACCTCGAGGGGCTCGAGTTACGTAAATTTTAGGTGTGCAGGCCATAATATGGATTGTGGTGTCCAGACGTCCTGGTGTTTTTTAATTAGTGACGTTGCCCTAGAAATATAATTTGATAATTTATATTATTATCTTATTTCTGTGGTATCGTTATACATATGTATTTAACAGTGTGATTTTAAGTATATACAAAATAGTTACAAATAAAAAAGTTGATTTATTTTATAAATTGTATTACTATAAACAGTAATAATAACTTATAAATTATTTGTTGGATTAAATTGTTATTTAATATATTATAATAATATGTTTATTTCTTATTTTTTTTTTCTAATGTATTAAAAAATCATAAATTGAGAATTATAATGGGACCCATCGATTCCACCAATAAATGTTGCCAGTAAAGGTAAACATATCCCAATTGAAACTTAATGTTTGTGTTTTCTATATTTTTGATCAGTCTTATCATAAGAGCTTTTTAAATACTTGAATACTGAAATTAACTAAACAATATTAATGTTATGATCCTTAAGGGGCCTGCTCGCGATTTTTCAAATTTTCCGGCAATTCTATAAATTTGAAAATCAAATTTTATATTTTAGTTGCCACCTCAATTATAAGACTTTTCCACTAATCTACTACCCAATACCTATTTAGGGGGGGTTGATAGGGTGTATTATATCGGTCAAACACAGTTTTACAGGAAAAACTCTCACACCTCGTAGATTGGTCCGATTTCCGAAATTTTTTTTTTGTTAGATAGAGGAATATTTTTTACAGGGCGTATTGGACTTCGATTTTTGATTACGTTGCTAAAAACAAAAAATAATACAAGAACTAAAAAGTTGTAAAAATTGATTAAATTCAAACTTGTAACATAAGAATTAGAAAAATAATGTTGAAAATCCAAGTCCAATGCGCCCTGTAAGAAGTCTTCCTCTATCTAACAAAAAAAAAATTACGGAAATCGGACCAATCTACGAGGCGTGAGAGTTTTTCCTGTAAGGCATGTTTTTGAGCAAAAAAACAGGTCGCGTGCAGGCCCCTTAAACTATTATTCTTTCCCGCTGTTTCTTAATGATTCCCGTGAGTTCCCGCACGTTCTCGGCAATTGCCCATCCCTACCCCCATCGAAGAATGTCACGGGTCATAATTGGAGGCGCAGTTGCAAACAGTGTAATGATAAACACATGCATATACAACTATATAATTGAACAGTATATAACTATTTTAAGTGCACAATATCATCAAATGTTGCAATTAGCAAGTGTAAAAATTCGAATGCATCTCGGATTGTTCACTAATAATATCGGACTCTGTGCCAAATTTGTATGATTTGTATAATACGCGGCCAACTGTTCGTAATCGTTCACTCTTTTCCCTGCCCGGCTGGTCGGTCAGTCTTGTATCAATAGACAATAATACGCAGCTGTATATGTTACCATTTTCACCAGTAATTATCGCCTATATTTTCTTTATTTGCGTTTGCAGTGATGAATCATTAACATTTCGATTGACGGTATAGCTATAAGCTAGGTATGCTTAATACATAAAACCTTTTTTTTTATACAACATCTCCTTATAAATGGTACAATAAGTAAACGAGTGATAATGCATATAAAATGTGGCGGTGAAAAATACATTGAATAAGAGTTTCACATTAGAAACTCCTGGACATGGGCAGTAGTTTTAGATAGAAATAATAATATAGGTTCACATTGAGTGCGATGTACGTTAAGAAGAATATCTCTGGGCCATTCGTGTTTCGGGCGTCTGGCTGGGTTGTCCAGAAGAGCATTGGTATGAAGTTGAGAGATGCGGGTCAATATAAATCCTATATTATATTATTGTAGGTAAATACGTTTACTAAAATATCTAGAATATCACATGACTGTCAGCTAGCTGATTACAGATTTTAAATTATGATAACATATTATATTTCTGTACCAAAATAACGTTTTTAATATACAAACGACTATCATAATTGTTATATGTGACATGCAAGGAGTATATATCTATAATAAAACACTGAGATTGGTCGTCTAACTCATTATATAGTTCGTTTAATGTGCATCATATATTAAATAATATTATAAATTAATCAAAATATCATAATATATTCGTATGATTATAGACGTGGCCAAATATAGGCGTGTAACTATTATGTTGCAAGGTGTAGCAATCGCTACCTCATAACTCTATTGTGGGTCAAATGAAACTTGGGTCAATATTTCTTTCGTTTATAGTTATGATAAAAATAGTTCAATTCAATATTTTGATTTTTGATGGAGTAAATCATATAATTTTAATATGTCTGTTAGTTTTTTTTTTTTTTGAAAAAGTATTAACACACAAGTACCAATAAAATGTATTTTTTTAATGTGTAATTAAAATTTAAGTTTATAAAATGATCAAAATATGCTGTTTATCCCTTGCGAGTATGGTTAGTTCCACCGCAGTGGCAGTGACTTGCTTATATTAGGAATTAAGTAATATAATAGTCATTAATGTATTACGACTATTGTTTGTTCGGGAAACCATGTTTGAGTAGCTTTATTTGTACTATTAATATTTTTTTATACATTTGTTACTTATCGGCATTTATAGTTGTACAGCATATCCGCTGCATGGCATCAATAATTATTTACATTGTGTTTTGAGAAAAAATAAACTGCGTGTTTATGGAAATTATTAGTTGAATCCGCGATCATTTTTCAGGTTCACGTCCTGACCATAGATATATAATATTATGTTTCGTCTCAACGATATAATTGAAATTTTTCATGGGATTAATTTTTTTTAGCTTTAATCAAACAGATGTAGCAAGTTATAAATGCCCATCGACTCTAATCGTTATAACTTATAAGTTATAGTGTAGGTATATTGTTACGGGCCCAAAGTCCTCACTGACGTGTTTGCTTAGGACCACATTTTATCGGGGACGGCGGGTATAAACCTATATGTACAGTGTACACGAACTTACGTAGAAACTACGGAGTAGTAGTCCTGTTAATCCATCGAAGTGCCATTTCGTATACAGAGTGTGTGTATTATTATAATTGATATATTTGTCGTCACCCTGTACGATACACGCGAGGG